GAGTGGGAGTCTCACTCGGTGGCCCAGACTGGAGTGCAGTGGCCGCTCCTGGCCACTGCAGCCTCGCCTGCTGGGCTCTGGTGATCTTTCTGCCTCAGCCTTCCAAGTAGCCGAAATTACAGGCACACGCTACCACGCCCAGCTCATTTTGATTTATTGTAGAGATGAGGTCTCGCTGCCCAGGCGGGTCTCGAGCCCGCGGACTCAGGCAATCCACTCACCTCAGCCTCTCAAGGGCGTGGGATTACAGACTGAGCCACTGAGCCCGGCTGATAATTTATTCTTAGTTGAGGTTGGCAGCAGGCTGGTGTAGGCACTGTAAGATTCCCTTGATTATATTTAGCCTTGGTGTAGTGAGCTTCTCAATTGCCAGCTGTGGCAGTTCTGTGATGGTTACCTGCACTGGCTCACAACATCCTGAGTGGCTTGGAAGGTGATGTTTGCTGGGGTCTAGGAATAGGCCTTCCCCAAAGCTGAGGTATTACATCATGTGTGATGGGCTGTGCTGTTGACCTACAGCCAGGAGGTGGCACTTGTGGGAGAGGGCCAGCTGTGATGGTGGCTGTAGACCTACTCTTTGGTGTGTGCTGCTCCAAGAAAGTGCCTAGCCAACCTAGGTGGAGGGCAGAGCTCTGGGATCACCTATGTTCTCTGTTTGGAGCCCCTGAGGGGAGTGTAGGGGGGTGAGGAAAGGAGCCAAAGCACCCCATTTATGTGCACTCCTGGCCACCCCACTGGTGGTTAGAAGGGAGCCCCAGGCCACTGGAGTAAGACTGCTGTGTAGGATAGGCACAGAAGAACTTACACTAGGAGTGAGAGGTTGCAATGGCAACTTGTCTCACCCATAGCCTCAGGCAGTTTGTGATCTGAGCACCAAAGTGCAGCTGGCCTCAAGGCCTCAGGTGTTCTCAGGGCAGCCTGCCCCAGCCAGAAACTGTCTGCCACCAAAGAGTTTGCCCTTGGGGTTCATCCCCTCCTAGGCTGTCTAGAAAGTAGCCACCAGCAAGAGTGGGATATGGCAGTTGGAACTTCTCAGGACTTTTTCCTGCACCACTCCTTGCAGGTTTCTGCAGAGCATGGCTATGGCTGAGGCAGTTTCCCATGAGGGACTGGAGTCCCATAAAGCTCAGGGGGCCCTCCAAGTCCTTGACAGGGGTATAGAACTCCTGAATTCCCCTCACCATCCCCACTGCATCCGGAAGCTGCTGGTGATCTGTGTCAGGATCCAGAGGAGAGTCTGGCTAATTCCAGCCCAGGTCAGTTGATTTTTCTCTTCTTTGGACTGTGTTATTATTATCATCACTTCTTCGCTGAGTTGTGGGGCTTGCTGCTGGTCTTGTTTGCCTCTGGGTGCTGAGGACACTTCTCTATCTTGGTTTGCTCTGTAAGGAGAAACACATTGTGGTTGCCTCATGTCAGCCATCTTAATCCCTATATCCCTCAACAACTGAATTTAATGCATTAAAATAGCCCAACAAACAAAAAGTATATAAAGTCATTCAATGATGGTGTTCTCTCAACCTTATCGGCACCCCTCTCCAGTTGCCATGCATCCTTTCTTTGGGTGGCCTCTGAGCTTAGCTCCTCCTGCACCTGTATTTTGACTGGACTGTTGCTCAGCAAATATTTACTCTCCTCACCTATCCCTGTTGTGGTAGAGTTTGCTTCCCTTTTTTTGCTGACTTTGGGTTTGGCCATATACGGAAGTACACTTCTTTGAAGTAGAAGTGAAAACGTGTCATTTCCAAGTCAAGGTTTTAGGAGGTATGACAAGTCCCCTCTAGACTCTTGCACTCTTGCCACCTGTCATGACAAGAACTTGCCCCTGGTAGCTTCTGCACCTTCAGGATGAGTATCAAAATGAGAGACACATGGAGCACATGTGAACCTAATTGGTAGCCCAAAGTAGCCTGACCCACAGATCTGTGAGCAAGAAAATATTTGTTGTAAGGAGAAACACATCGTAGATCTGGGGGGAAAGAAGATATTTGTTAGACAGTATTATTGCAGCAAAATCTAGCCTCACTTTGCTTCTTTTTTTAAACTTTGTGTACGTCACTAAGATACGTAGTGACTTCTCATATTGGTACATTAGGGTTATTTCTTTAGTTTCATGGTATCCCAGAGTATGGCTATTCTCTAATGTATTTAAACAGGCTTCCATTAATGGATATTTGTGTTAGTCCAATCTTTTGCTATCAAAAATAAAGATGTGGTCAGGCACCATGGCTCATGCCTATAAATCCAGCAATTTGGAAGACTGTGATGGGAGGATTGCTTGAGCCCAGAAGTTTGAGACCAGCCTGAGCAACATAGCATGACTTTGCCTGTACAAAAAAAAAAAAATAAAAAAGTGAGGCTGGTTTGGTGGTACACACCTGTAGGCCCAGCTACTCGGAAGGCTGAAGCAGAAGGATCACCTGAGCCCAGGAGGTTGAGGCTGTAGTGAGTCATGCTTGTGCCACTGTACTCCAGCCTGGGTTAAAGAGACCACCTGGGTCAAAAAAATATAATAAAATAAAATAAAGATGCATTAAATAGTCATGTACATACATCATTTTTTATGTGTGCAAATATATCTATAGAATCATGAAATTGCTAGGAGGGAATGTATAGAAAATTGGAAATATTAAAAGATATGGCTCAATTTCCTCACTTAGATCTTGTACTAACAACAATGATATTGATCATCAACTAAAGCTGAATGAAATGAAGACATTTTGGTTTTTATATCACTGTAATCATGCTCTTATCCTCCTTCTTGGAGGTGTTGAGGCAGAATTGACTCCCACAGTCAAGAGACGAGCGACACTCCCAGAATGTGAGGGGAACACAAGTTTGTTTATGCCGGTGGGCCCAGGGGGCTAAGGCCTAAGTCCTGGGACCCCATCTACTTGTGAGCTTTGCCTCATATCAGGTTTACCTTTCGACGTACGTGCAGTTTACACTTTTGTGTGCATGCAGTATAGCTTGGGTAGTAGCGGGGGCTTAAGCAAGCTATTTACAGAAGTGGATATTGTGAGAAGAAAAAATGGTTAGGCAGGGACCTCTTTCCAACTGACCACTGTTAGGACCCTTTTGGCTTCCTCCAGATGACTTGCCAGTTCAGAGGGTCCTGTTCTACATCTTCTCTTCCTCTTTCTTCTCCCTAAGTGTTCACCAAGGATCTGTCTTTGACCTTGTATCAATAGTATAGGCTAAGTTATGCTGTGTGAAAAATGACCACCTCATCTCAGTGGCTTACAACAACAAAAGTTTATTTCTCACTCACGTTACATTCTTATTGTGAGTCTGCCACTGTCCTACCCCTCACTTTTTTCTTTCTAGGACCCCAGCTATTCTGTCTGGGACATTGATGGTCTTAAAGCAGGAAGAAAAGAGACCTGATTCCTATGGTTTCTGCTCAGAAGTGACAGGTCATTTGTCATGTCTGCCCACATTTTACTGGTTATGTGAGTCTCATGGTTGCTCCTGAGATCTACAGAGCAGGGATATTTAATACTTTGGAAGGGTGGAACACCATCTCTGGGTGAACAAAAGCTCCATCTACCACAGCCCTATTCTCTTCTTACCCCATAATGTGGACCTAGGCCCACACCCTTTCCCTAGGGCAATTTCATGAATGTCCATGGTCTCTGCTTTGTCTCCAGGCCCAATAAACTCACAATCCAATGCTTGCTGGGCTGCTCCATGGGACTTCCTCGCCAGAACCTCAAACACAACACGCCCATAAAGGAATGCATCCCATTTCCCCCACACCTGCTGCTTCTGTGAAACCCTGGATCCTCCCCAAGTCATCTCTGCCTCTTTTTCTTCCTCCCCTTAGCTTCCCATCCATTGCCAAGTCATACTGAGCCTGTGCCTACCACATGTTTTGACTCCAGCCTCTCTCCTCTCCATGTCTGCCCTCAGGTCTCTAACTTTGGGATCCATTCCCTTCATTCACCTCAAACTACCTAGTACATAGTAAGTATGCAAGAAGTATGTTTAAAAACCCATGGTTCCTTACAATTCTACCATATTTGCAGAGAACATGCAACACGCATGGTCCTAGGGACACACCTGTGAACCCCACAGTATTACCCCAGCCTCCTGGACTACCTACCTCTTCTTGCCTCTTAAGTCCATCTTTCAGAGGAGCATCCTTTTCATGCAGTAGGATGAGCCTGTCCATTCCCTGCGCGAGAACCCATCATGACTCTTCACTGCCGACTGGCTAGGGTCCAAGCCTTCCCTAATTTGACTCTATCTCTTTCCCCAATTCTCATTTTCATCTACCCCGCACAGCAGCCAAATCAAAGGACCAGATCTGTGTGTTCCTCTGTGCCCTTGCTAATGTCATTAGAGGTGAAACGGACATGTCCAAATGCTCCCTGTCCTTCAAGGCCCCACATGAATATCTAGAAGGCTTTCTGGATGCCTACCTTACTGCCTCCCCAGTTAAATCTCCACAGCAGTATATATGGAATTCTTCCATACCACATGCCATTTACTCCTGTTTCAGCTAAGATTGTATGTATCTTCTCTCTCCCCCAGCTCGTAAGCTTTTTGTGGGCTGGAGCTGTGCCTGCTCAATCCTTGTCTTCCCACGGTATCCTGAATGAAAGTGCTCCATAAGCATTTGTTGAATGAATGAATTTGTCACAGGAAACGGGAAGTAAGAAAATGAAGTTCAGGCTGGTGCGGTGGCTCATACCTGTAATCTCAGCACTTTGGGAGGCTGAGGCAGGAGGATCACTTGAGTCCAGGAGTTTGAGACCAGCCTGGGCACCCTAGTGAGACCTTTTCTTTACGGAAAAAAAAAAAAAAAAAAGTTGTGCTTGGTGATGCCTGTAGTCCCAGACACCTCTCCTGAGCTCACCTCTCCTGAGGTGAAGGAATTGCCTGAGCCCATGAGTGCCACTGCACTCCAGCCTGGGCAACACAGTAAGACCCCAACTCAAAGAAAAAAAAAAAGTAAAAAGAAAGAAAGAAAAAAGAAAATGAAGGTCATTTTTCGATAAAACACCTGAACAACAGATCCAGGAAAATGCCTTATCAGTACTCTTCTGTGCACTTACAACATACTAAGGCCAGGCCTGAGGTCCTTGACTCCAAGTAGCTGACCTCCCTGGGCTCCCAGGCCCTCATTTTATGGCTCACCACACCCTTAGGAGTAAGTATTGGTGGAAGCCTTCCCTTCTCATTTCACCTTACAAATCAGACAGTTAAAGGTAACACAGAAATGCCGTGGGCCCTGCCATGCTGTGACTGATGGGGCTGTTTGAGGGTAGCAGGTGTACAAATAGGCTTTTAGAGATCCTTAAGCAGAATGTTTGAGAATCATCCAAACCTCAAATACCTTCCTGATGGCAGAAAGTGTCTCAGCTGCTAAGTAGCAGATGTTGCCACTTTCTGAGCCCTTCCTGGGAGAAACCTTAAGATCAAAGCTTATCTGGCTCAGAGGTAGGTTTTCCCAGCCTAGAGGAGGGATGTAGCCACCAGAGGCATACAGAGATATTTAGAAACCTGCCACCTCTTATGGAGGAATATAAGAGGTGAATTTGTTGAATTTACCCGATTAGGACAGCAGCAGTAGGGCAAATGGGTACATTGAGGAAGGAAATCTCAGGATGAGATTTTACAAATTTTACAAAGAGACTTACTGATAACAGCAAATAGCTATAAAAGCTGGTTAGCCAGCTGGAAAACATTTAAATAAAAAGTAGTTAACCATTTGTTGCTATTTAATTATTACTGTTAACTAAATTTATCTTAAAGAAACAAAATGCCACCATCAATTAACCCCTTTAAACCTCTGGAAATTTCCTTCCACAGACCTTCTCCACCCCTGATGTAGTCTTATAAATACATCTAACTAGCCTCTGCCTCTTTGCAAAACAGCAGACACTCTCTCTGCCATTTGGCCCATTGATCCATTCACAACATATCTTCCCCTTAATAAATCTGCCTTTCTTTTTTTTTTTTTTTTTTTTTGGTTGGAGTCTCACTCTGTTGCCCAGACTGGAGTGCAGTGACCGGGCCTCGACCTGCTGGGCTCCAGCGATCCTTCTGCCTCAGCCTTCCAAGTAGCCGGAATTACAGGCATGCGCTACCACGCCTGGCTGATTTTTTGATTTATTGTAGAGATGAGGTCTTGTTGCCCAGGCGGGTCTCGAACCCGCGGGCTCAGGAAATCCACTCACCTCAGCCTCCCAAAGGCGCGGGATTACAGGTTGAGCCACCGAGCCCGGCTTAAATCGGCCTTTCTTAATTCATAAGTGTCTTGGTGAATATGTTCAACACGCCCCACCCCCACAGTTCTGGTCATACCAAACCCAGCCTGCCACACACATGACACCTCTTGCATGGGTAGATGCATGCTAGATGAACAGAGAAAACTTGAGTGGAACAACTCTCTTTAGTCTCCCTTAAATGCCCTGGATTAATGGTGAAGGGGAGAGGGAGCTGCTTCCTTAAGAGACTAGAAAGAATGCAAGAAATCCACTTCCTGGCCAGAAGTATTTATGCACGATTCTAGAAAGACAAGCTTAAAGGAAAGGCTAGCTGGCATTAAGGCAGGAAAGGGACAGGAGAAAATGGAGCTGGAAGTGCCAGATCAAGATGTCTCCTGGGGAACATGCTGTTCTGTGTATGGCCTTCCTGGGGAAGGAAGGAGACCGGGATGGGTGAAGTGGTGATCCTGGCATCATATTTCAAAAAGCTCTCAAGTTTAGACTTTGGATTTTATTGCTGTGTGAGGTTGCAACATTGCAAAGAAGACAGTGACACACAGCAGGAAAATGTGACTTCTCAGATCTGCATTCTGCCTGCACTCTGTCCAGTACTGCAAAACCGCCTCTGGGGCACTGCCACAGTTAAATTTTTCCATAAATTCTGAAATTGTCTTGGAAACAGCACAAATGCATTATGTTGTATTTGTGTGCTCAAAGCATTGATTTGTTCAGTGGAAACTAAAAATATTTTATAATGATTGTAATCCCATTTTTTCCCAATTATTTAAAATGGGATTGTTTTTTAAATGGAAGCCCTGAGGCTGAATATGGATGAGAAAAGCAAATAAGACCATCTCTCCTCAAGCCAGGATTAAGACATAGCAACCATTAAATTGACATACTGATTTAAACAAAACCCAAACAGTTTCTGGCGAGCATAAAATAGAATTGGTTTCGCCGGGCTCGGTGGCTCAGCCTGTAATCCCGTGCCTTTGGGAGGCTGAGGTGAGTGGATTGCCTGAGCCCGCGGGTTCGAGACCCGCCTGGGCAATGAGACCTCATCTCTACAATAAATCAAAAATCAGCTGGGCATGGTAGCGCATGCCTGTAATTCCGGCTACTTGGAAGGCTGAGGCGGAAGGATCGCCGGAGCCCAGCAGGTCGAGGCTGTGGTGGCCGGGAGCCACCACTGCACTCCAGTCTGGGCGACAGAGTGAGACTCCAACTCAAAAAAAAAAATAGAATTGATGGGTTGATGAAAGATTAACCAGAGAGAGTAAAGAGTTAAGGCTTTCTGTGTTTTATCTGTCTAGGTAACTTTTGTAATCATTTAAGATAGTTTTCTACAAACATATGTCAGATTCATTATTTTTGTTCTGAAGGCCTAAAGTTGTCCTGAGAGTACCAGGGACTCATACAGTGTAAAATTTACCTGTTTTCCTCCCCACTTCCTTGAAGGTGATACCCAGAGATGTTAGGTGAGGCTGAGTCCAGCCATCAGGCCACAATCCTCAGGAAGTAAGAATAAGTACTTCAAGATCCCATTTTGGCTTCAATATAGTAACTCAGAGACATCTCAAAAGCCACAGTGAATCTGAATTTTACCAAAACAATTCTCATGATTCTTGGATGCCACAACTTGAATGAAAAGGGCTGGCAGAAGGCCAGGAATTATGGTTCACATCTGTAATTCCAACACTTTGGGAGGCCGAGGAGGGAGGACTGCTGAGACAGAAGTTCAAGACCAGCAGAGACAATATAGCAAAACCTTGTCTCTACAAAAAACTAGCTGGACATGGTGGTGTACACCTGTAGTCCCAGCTACTTGGGAAGCTGAGGTAGAATGATCACCTGAGCACAGAAGGCTGAGGTTGCCCTAAACTGTGATCTGGGCACAGAGTGAGAAAAAAAGGGGGCTAGCAGACCACTGACCCAGCACCTAATCAAGTCATGAAATATAACCTTAACAACTTGCTTCAGTAACGGACTAGTTTTTCTCTCCTCCTTTTGTTGCTATGACAATGAAGGTTTCCCTGACAACTTCACCTGTTCTTTCAATGCCTCCGGGCAACAGTACAGGAATACGTGTCTACAGAGTGAGCTTTCCAAAAAAAGAAAGGAAAGACATCTATTTCCAGATTTTTTTTTAAGTCTCCATTTTTCTCTTTATACTATAGATATACTCCTAGAAATGCATTCACCTAGCACACTTGGAAAAGAATATGAAACGTTGTCTATTCTAGCTTTTATTGAGTGGTAATGGTCATTTCTAATGGTTTGCTAACTTGCATGATGCACTGAGTGTGGGAAACAGAGCAATTTCTGTACACAAAAGAAAATCATATACATAAGCAGACAAATGGAGAGGCATGTATGCCAGGGACCAGCTCCTAATGTCAGAAAATAGACCCACTGTGCTTTGAGGAGATGCTCTGAAAGCTTCAGGGAGATTACAGCAAGTTGGACAAGATATGTGTCATCAACCTTGAACTTAAATTCGAATGTGCCAAACAGAAGAAAATGAGCAAAAATTAGTTGATCCTGAAAATCTTGCCTTATAGTTCATAAATTCCGAATGGAGAACATCTGCTCCATCAGTAAACTGGCTTCTTTCTTCTCCTGAGTTGTCACTCTCACTCAAAAGGGAAGGCTTCGGTTGAAATTCCTGATGAAATTCCCCTATTAGGAAAACAGAAATGTAGAAAGTATGATTTCATGAACAGAAGAGCAAACCATAAATGATCCACAAATGTGTTATCTAATTACTTCAATCTTCTCTCTTCCCTATTAAGAGAATTCTCCCTTCTCTGCCAAGTGTGAATAAAAGATAAAAAATAAAAATGGAAATTTTTTAAAAAGTCAGAAAGCCCCAAATTGAACTTAAAAAGTTAAGGCCTCTTTATTGCTTAGTTTCTTATGAAAGAAATAACATTTCCTCTTACTTTTTTAAGGAATGGAGAAAAGAAAGTGTAAAAGAGGGTTTTTTTTGCCCTCAGTAAGATGTGACTAAATATTTCAAATTCAAAACTCAACAAGTATTTACTGATCAGCTGCTGAATGGCAGGTACTATGCTAAACATTTTAGAGATTTAAAGTCAATTCTGACTCCTGTCCTTAAGCAGTAAATAATCTCAAGGAAGAGTGTGGGAGGGGACTAGACAAAGCCTCAAATCATAACAACAAAAGAAGAGACTACGAGAAAGCACACCCAGACAGAGCATGTCCACCTAGACTGTTTCCAGAAGGTGTGGAAAAGCACAAGGAATACCATGTGGAACTCTTCTGACTGATCTGAAGACTAAAAAGGACCAATCGTTCCACCCCTTAAGCCTCCAAGCTAGCAGAATACCCATGTCTAAAACAGGGAGGAGAGAAATTTACTGGTAATAAATTATGTACAAGGGGGACTCCCCCCAAAAATGGAAATATTTTTGGAGGGTAGGTCTCTTGTAATAAAAGCTTCTCCCACAAGGTACGTGTTCCAAGAACCCATCAATATCAGAGTACCAGCTAGCGTTGTGAGAGGCTGCGTTTGACTTCAGTGAATTTTTTTAGAGATTCTTTCAATGTGATTGCCCATTTCCTGATGGGTGATTTATATGAAGAACCTGCCCACATCACACTGAGTGTTCAGCAGTTTTTGACCAAAACACCATGACCCATGTGCCCTTACCCTTCATATTCACCCTATCTTGCCCTGAGCAACTTTTTTTTTTGGTTTCCCTGGATGAAAAAAATCCTCAAAGGGAAACGTTTTGTTCATGTGGAAGAGGTGAAACAAAAAATGGCAGAAGCACTAAATGGCATCAAAACTGAAGAGTTCAAAAACTGTTTGTAGTGGAAAAAGCATCTCAATATGTGCATTCCATCAACTGGCAAGTACTTTGAAGGCGGCTGAAGTTTAAACATGTACGAATCGAAAGGACAGACCGACAGAGAGCAAGAAGTCATTTTTCATCTTGTTCTTAAATTCTAATACAATGATGAAAAAGTAGAAACTATATTTTGGGGAAATGCATACTTTAGGTAGAGATTAGCCTTGCCGACTTTGTCTTTTCAGAAACTGCCAGGCATTTTGTAAAGGGAGTTTACAAGGCCTAAGACTTCACGCATTAGGCAAAAGTTATGCTAATCACAAAACTTGTAATAACAAAAGTTATGCAGGAAGCGGATGGGGACTGGATCTTCCAGTAAATTGGGCGCTGTCTGCAGGGAAGTCAAGGATCCCCCGGAGCTGTCAGCTGGGAATGCATAGGAGATAAAGGGAAATGCACCCTGTTAGCTCTATGGAATGTTATTCTGGAATGTACAGGAACACTAGAATCCTTATCAAGCCCTTCTCTAGGGGCTGTAATAATGTGGGCAGATATTAGAGTATCTCTGTCACAGGATCTCCAAGACATTCACAAATGGTCAATAAGGAAGTCACGGCAGTCACACCTACCTGACTGCAATACCTCCAAGGGAAAGGATTTAAGCCAGAGCTTGAGGGAGCTACGGGGCCACACTCATTTAGAGTGTAGGCCCGCTTCCTGTCTGTGGAAAGTGAACTTTTCTTACATAAATATTTTCTTCTTTCACCTCTTTGTGTGTTGCAATTCTTTGCATTACTCGGATCTCTGGTTTGCCAGTGCATACCTCCGGCATGCCGGTTCTAGCGGTGCTACATCCCTCTCCCTCCACCCTCCACCCTCACCCTATCCATGCCCTAAAAAGAATAAATACACAATTTTTGTAAATAAATTGTCTTGGTGGGGGCCCTCCCTCTTAATTCTTTTATTTTAAAAATGTGCCTAAAACACTACATTCTACATTGCATAATGCTACAATGTAGGAGGTAGTGTTTACCTGACTTACCAAATCGGTAGTTATATTTGTTTTTTTGTTTTGTTTTGTTTTGTTTGAGTTGGAGTCTCACTCTCCCGGCCACCGCAGCCTCAACTTGCTGGGCTCCGGTGATCCTTCCGCCTCAGCCTTCCAAGTAGCTGGAATTACAGGCGCGCACTACCACGCCCGGCTAGTTTTTTTTAATTTATTGTAAAGATGAGGTCTCGCCTGCCCAGGCGGGTCTTGAACCCGTGGGCTCAGGCAATCCACTCACCTCAGCCACACAAAGGTGCGGGATTACAGGCTGAGCCACCGAGCTCGGCTGGTAGTTATATTTGTATATAAAGTATACACTTACATTTTTGGACAACATATGGTTCCAATCATAACCTCGGGTAAAAGAAATATTACACCTAAATACCTAAATGTAAGAAGTGAAAGCAAAACACTACAGGTTTGAGTTGATATAAACAGCTCTCCTATCACTAAGAAGAGCATATTCAAACTACTAGAGAAATAATCTGTATCATATTATACATTATGAAATAGTCTCTTTCACAAATCAGTAAACATTTGATTTTAGTATTTTCTTTAATATCCATTGAGCAAACAGGAGCAATCAAAATATTGTCATAATGTAATCCAATGAGGGCTTTTCACCAAGATATGAAAAATATTTCAAGAAATCTAGAGGTATACAAGACAGACTGTTTAGTGACCATTTGATGATTATTAAAGAGCTGCAGAATTTCAGAGCTACAAAGAGCCTTTTAGAAGAGCTACTCCAATCATCTCATTTGCAAGTGAGGTAATTAAGGTTAACTGGCTTGTTGGGGTCAAGTGGCTTTCTAAACACACATCTCAACTACATTTCCCACCCTCATGTATAGTGAAATGTAGCCATGGAGTGAAGTCTAGTTTATCAGTGATGAGCACTCCTCATAGGCCCAGCCCATAAAAACCTGTCATGAGCAAACCACCATGCTCTTTCTCTTCTGGCTTAAAACAGATGGACATGGAAATTTTGGAAACCCTGCACTAAAGACAATGGATTTGTGGGATGAAAGGAACTTGAGTCCTCGGGTCAACACTCGCAGGGGAGTTGCCTGCCAATCATTAACCCTCATTTGGACTTAATTTAGATTGCAATCTGCTACTGAGATTTGGGAAGTTTATGTATTACAGCAGCTAGAGTTTTCCTAAGTAACAGATTTACCCTATCAATATTTTCTTTCCAAGAATGAATGTAAAGAATTTTCTCTAAATTTTCAGAATGAGAATAGCTCTACTACTTACTGGACCAAGTAGTACCGGCTATGTGACCAACAGCAAATTACCCAAACTCTCTGATCTTTTGTTTTCTTCCCTATAAAATAGAGATGATTAGAGTATCCGAGACTTCTGAATTTTAAATGATATCACCTTCCCAGATGAACACCATACCTGGTACACAGGAAATATTCCATAAACATGAACTATGACCACTGTCATATCTGGGTACATGTTAATTTAACCATAACATTTGAAACTGAAAAACAAGCACTTTCTCCACAATTCATTCTCAGACCTTTCACGGGGCTAAGGCGATGGCACGAGTCCTCTTTGATGATCTGTTCTTCTTCCATGATATTTGACATGGGCACATTGAGGCTAACAGTGTCTTCATCAGAAGGCTAAAAAGACACAGTGCACTGTTTCATTCAAGGGAGAAGTGTTATCCGTGTATATAGAGAAAGTTATGTAATAAAACAACATCCTGTGATTCTTACAAACAACATATTGAAGAAAGATGCCAGATAGGAGAGTCAATTCCACTTACATAAACTCAAAAACAGCAAAACAGATCCATGGTGTTTGAAGTCAGGTTTTTCTTAGGAGTGGAAGGAGTGGTTCTGCTTCTTGAACTAAGAGCTGATTAAATAACTGTATTCACTTAAGGAAAATTCATGCAGTTAACACCTATGCACTTCTCCGTATATATCCACTCTAGCTGGTGAAGTTTATTCAGAAAATCTATGATTCTGTCACAAATGAAGTACGGGTTTATTGTTGCTATTTAGGGAACAGCTTTCCAAATCTCCAGGATCAGGAGCCTGCCTAAGAATACATTTCAATGATTGTGGCTTGCTCCTACATCCTTGAGGTATGACCTTCAGAGTTGGTCCTTGTCTATTTTTGGAAACATGCACAAATTATTTAGAAACTGGCAGAAAACAAGGGTGCATTTCATTCATTAAACAAATATTCATAAAAGCCCTACACTTTTGTGCTTGTTTATCTTGAGGAAAACCTGTTGTTAATTTCTCTCTCTTTGTTTAGAATTGTTTCACTCTTGTCGCCTAGACTGATGGACAGTGGCACAAGTGGTGTGATCACAGCTCACTGCAGCTTCAAACTCCTGGGCTCAAGGCTATCCCCCCTCCTCTGCCTCCCAAGTAGCTGGGACTATAGGAGCATACCACCATGCCTGACTGGTCTCAAACTCCTGGACTCAAGCAATCCTCCTGCCTTAGCCTCCCAAAGTGCTCCTAGTCCATGTTGTTAATTTCTGAGAGACAAATACTAAATCAATCGGACTAAGGCAACAGCCAAAGAAAAAGAACAAGGTGCAATCCCTGAACCCCTCAATGAGATACAAATGGTAAGACTGACTGACCATAGATGGTAAAGTCTTTGCCAAACAAAGTGAAAATAGAAAGCTACATAAGATAATTCAGAACCCTTACAATTCCAAAAACTACATTTCTTGGAGGTGTTCTCATGTAATGAGGCTATAATATGAAGCAAAAAAAGTCCAATGGGAAGGTGAGAATTTTACTCTCTTGAGGGTAATCCTTTCTTTAGTTGCTTTTCCTTCCACCCACCTCTCATGTTAAAAAATGAGCAAAATTCCAAAGATATGCATCTAATTAAAAGGGAAAGAATAATTCCCTGGTCTTTTTTAGAATGATATTAACATCCTACTTACACTAAGCAAGAACAGAAGGATAATGAAGTTCTTTGTGTAATGCTTTATTAATGAACTTAATTAGCCTTAGAAGAGAGATAAAGGAGAAAGCGGAGTCTGTTTTAATTTAATAGAAAATATGCTTAGGGTGAGTAATTTATGAAACAACGGCCCATTTGAGGGGGCTTATGAGTTTTAATAAAGCTGAAGAGAATGAATTAAAATACAACTTATAAAGCAATGCATTTAGTATCTCCCCTCTCCCATTGAAACACAGAAAACTACCATCATGGCTTCAAGTGGCTCATTTTCTTTTACTGACACTGGCCTTCTTTTCTGCCTGCTAATTCCTCTTCCTTTCAAAATGCTCTATAGTAGAAGATGTTAAGGAATTCCATTTTTTAATACACTGCTTTAAATAGGGCATTTTGTGAAAAATAAATTCAAATATCTTAGCTACCTATTAAATTTCAGACCTGAAGAACACTGAGAAAAGGCTTTTTTGGAGTCATACAAAGGAAAAAATGTGAATTCCTCAGATGGGGTAAGTGGCCTGTTAATTACCACTTCAAGGAAATTTTTTTTTTTTTTTTGAGTTGGAGTCTCACTCTGTCCCCCAGACTGGAGTGCAGTGGCCGCTCCCGGCCACCACAGCCTCGACCTGCTGGGCTCCCATGATCCTTCCACCTCAGCCTTCCGAGCAGCCGGAATTACAGGCGCGCGCTACCACGCCCGGCTAATTTTTTTATTTATTGTAGAGATGAGGTCTCGGCCTGCCCAGGCGGGTCTCGAACCCGCAGGCTCAGGCAATCCACTCACCTCAGCCTCCTAAAGGTGCAGGATTACAGGCTGAGCCACCGAGCCCGAAGGAAATTTATAATGTTTCAAAACTCAGCAACTACAAGAACTCAAATACTTCCCCTACATCTTTCTAGTTCTCTGGATCAAGAAGTTCCATTATATTAATATAAGACTTTAGGGAATCCAATAGACTGCATGTGAGATGATAAATGCATTAACAAGTTACTTATAAACACTATAGGAAGCTCTAGAGTTTGAGGCCTCTTAGTGTATGAGTGATCAGACTTTTATATAATTATCTGAATAGAAGATAATACAATCTAAGAGTTTCAGGAAAAGAAACATTGTTACAAAAACTATAGCAACTTCATAAATGCATTTCCTGTGAGTAAACTGCTAAAATGCAATGTACACTTGATTCCTTAACATTTATGCATGCATAGAACAATGTTTTCCCAAATTGCTCGATCACTTTAAAACAAACATATTTATAAAAGTGCTTCACAGGCACTAATATACTACTTAGTCACTTCATAATATTTATGATGCAACCAAGAATATTCTAGACAATGTGCAGAATTTCTAGAATATTATTGATTGCATCATAAATATTACTCTAGACAATATGAGGAAGAAGATAGGAAATCTACTCTTGAGGCATTTATTAAAGATGTAGAATAAGCTAACAACAGCTAATATTTACCTAACACTTAGAGGATTTCAAATTGCTTTCACAAACATTATCACATATTCTCATACAGATGCATCAGTGTCCTTTACCAGAAAGGAGTTCAGTGAACACTGCTGATATATCTAGAATCACAGAAGGAAAATGTCTGATCACCAACTTTACCTCGGTGGCAGATAATCGCTTATCTCCATTATCACTTCCAACTCCCGAATCAGAATCCTTCTTGCTGAGATAGATGCCATCAACATTGAGTTCATTGAGAAAAAATTAAAAGCACAAAGTTCACACAAAAGACATCAATGTATATTCTAATAATGACTTTGCTACACAAATTTTTATTATCAGTCCAGTATTAATGAATATGAAGATGTGCCCTAATGAAAATCAGACATTTGTACTGTCTGAACATAGTACAAGACAGATTCTTTGTGTTCAGAGTTTTATAGATTTATGCTCTAACTAAGTGGCTTGCTCTTAAATGTCAATTTGTTGCTCTAAAAGTTATCCATTTCTTTATTTTATTGGTTCTAGCATATAAAAAAGGAAATTGGAAATGCAAATTAAAACCACACTGAGACATCACCTAACTCCAGTCAATGTGGCCATCATCAATAACTCAAAATAACTAGAGAAGATGCGGGGAAAAGGGAACCCTTCTACACTGTTGGTGGGAGTGTAACCTAGTACAACCTTTGTGGAAAACAGTGTGGAGATTCCTAAAAGGTCTAAAAATCGACCTTCCATATGACCTCTCAATCTCCCTGCTGGGAATATACCCCGAGGGACTCAAATCACTCTAAGAAAAAAATACTTGCACACGTATGTTTATTGCAGCATTATTCACAGTAGCAAAAACATGGAACCAACCGTGCTGCCTACTGAAAGAGGACTGGATTTTAAACATGTGGTACATATACACAATGGAATATTATGCAGCCATAAAGAGGGACAAAATTATGAATTTTGCAGCAACTTGGATGGACTTTGAGTCTATAATACTGAGTGATCTATCCCAGAAACAAAGAATTGAGTAACATATGTTCTCACTCACAAGCAGGCCTTGAACAATTATCACAATACTATAAGAAAGGGATTGGCAGTAGTGAGAAACGCCATGGTTGCAGGGGACATACCTCATCAACAAGGGTAGCTGCATGATGAACATTTGTATATCTAACCCTGAATTGTACCACACATCTTTAAAATAAAAAAATATTTAGAAGCAATAGGCCACAAAACTACTTTTGTCCCTTACGTTATGAAATGTGATTACTTTAAATAATTCCATAAACTTTTATCCACTTATTAGATATATTTGATAAAATCTTTAGATAAAAACAATGAATATATATTTTTTAACAGTTTATATAAAGTAACTTTAGGGTAGTCTGAAATTTTAAGTTATCTTGATTAGTATAAAGTGAAGGAAAAGATTTCTGCAGTGAAGACTTCTCAAAAAAGACCTGCATTTCTCTATGTGTGTTCACAGTATGGGAAATTTGTTTTCTGGGAGCTCAAGGCTTGATTTATGTCACAAAAAGCCCAACGATATGTGAGGACATGAAAGAATTCTAGCACTTCCATTTGAAACAGGAATTGGCAAAATACTAGGGACACTGTATTTTTTTTTTTTTTGAGTTGGAGTCTCACTCTGTCGCCCAGACTGGAGTGCAGTGGCCGCTCCCGGCCACCGCAGCCTTGAACTGCTGGGCTCCGGCGATCCTCCGCCTCAGCCTTCCGAGTAGCTGGAATTACAGGCGCGTGCTACCACACCCAGCTGATTTTTTATTTATTGTAGAGATGAGGTCTCGCTGCCCAGGCGGGTCTCGAACCCGCGGGCTCAGGCAATCCACTCACCTCAGCCTCCCAAAGGCGCGGGATTACAGGCTGAGCCACCAAGCCCATCTGGGACACTGTATTTTTAAAAAAACAATTTAAAAATGAAGCTGAACACTTGAAAAAAAAATGAAGCTTGTAGTTTTTCTTAACAATGTTCTGAAGATTTTTTTCAAATTTAGTAATTGTTAAAAAGACATGTCTGAGTTCAATATAGTTGTTCTGATAAGTAAAAAATATATTTATGTTACAGATCTTATTTATTAGTATACACATGTTCTCAGGGAGGATTGATTATTAGGAGACAATAGATGAGATTTGAGAGACGCCAAAATGTTTTCAACAGCATCAATTTTCTCTTTCATACTCCGATGTTTCTCAAATTATAAATGTGAATTGGTTAAGTGAAGCAAATAGAGTTTCCAATTTTTGTGTGTGTGCGTGTGTATGTGGTTTTTTTGTTATTGTTTGTTTTGTTTTGTTTTTGCCTGAAGGGCTTTGGTTTAAGCAAATTCTAAACAGGGGCTTTGAGTGAAGATATGGACTCACCTGTCTTCCACATGCTGGTGTAAATGTGGCCTCTCCATGGTATGGAGATAAAGGGAGTCAGTTGTCTTGATCTGGCATGCTTGTATGCTCAGATACTTAAATATGTGCACTTTGCCTTTTGTGCAAATCTATGAAGAAATCAATAATACATAATCATATTTTAATGACAAAACAAAATGAAATTACCAGATTCTGACTCTATTTCAATTTCCACGATTTCATTTTAAGGAATACCTAACAATGACACTAAATTTGTCTAGTCCAAAACACATAAGGATTTTGGGAATCATTCTCTCTAAATTCTACTTTGAATTAAAACAAACAAACAAAAAACATGCTCAAGCAATTTCCAACTTTTCTCAAATTAAATTTAAAAATTCAAGTATTTTGCAGAACAAAGCACAAATATAGTAGAAATGTATTCAAGTGTAAATAGCATAAAAAGTAAAAAAAAAAAAGGCCAACAAGCTTGGTAACATTCTAGTTACAAAACAAGCTTGGTAACATTCTAGTTACAAAAGATGACAAAAGCACAATTATTTTCAAGCCCCTAAGAAAGCAGGCTGTGTTTAATAAAAAAAAAAAAGAAAAGAAAGCAGGCTGTGCTCGGTGGCTCAGCCTGTAATTCCAGCACTTTGGGAGGCTGAGGGCAGAGGATTGCCTGAGCCCGAGGGTTTCAAGACCCACCTGGGCAACTTGGCAAGACCTCGTCTCTACAATAAATCAGAAACTAGCTGGGTGTGGTAACGCACGCCTGTAGTTCCAGCTACTTGTAAGGCCGAGGCAAAAGGATTGTCGGAGCCCAAGTAGGTCGAGGCTGCAGTGGCTGGGAGCTACTGCATTCCAGTCTGGGCGACAGAGTGAGACTCCAACTCAAAAACAAAAACAAAAACAAAAAAAGAAAGCAATCAAGAGCTTTAAAAGAATTGCAGACTTACTCCAGTCTGGGCGACAGAGTGAGACTCCAACTCAAAAAAAAAAAAAGAAGTTGTTAAATCGTTTTAAAAAATAAACTTTAAAACTATTTATATAGTTAAACATCTGAAAGCATACGTACTTCGTTTTGTTCTCAAGCAGTTTAACATTTGAGCTTGAGCCCTGTATCTAAACAATCAGTAATAATATTTCAAGATCTTTAATTCCATTTTCCAGCTAACGTTCAAATAAGGACTATACTATTCCTTTTCTAAGGCATATACTCCATGAAACAGTTTTAAATAAAATTATAAATAATCAAACATACAATTCTGGGGATCAAAATAGTGAGTCAGGTGCTGGTAAATAGATTTGATGCAGCAGAAAACAATTTATTATACCCAGATTTACCCAAGGTTTCATCTTTTGAAAGACTGTGACTGTCTATGATCATGCCTAATACAATATTAATTGTATAAATACAAAAAACTGGCCCTGTGGAGGGTTGCTTCAGCACTGATAATGTTTGTGCTCAGAAAACAATACTCTAAAATGAAGACCTCAGCTGCAGCCTCAGAAGCAAACGTTTTTCTCTGACCTTCTCCCGCCCTCCTGTCTCTCAGTCCCATTCTTCCCTGAGGCTAGCCATAGAAACTAGAATCTCTTCCTCAAGGCAGGTCACAGAAATCAGAACACCTTTTCCCTAAAGCCAGTCATAAGTCCTAAAATTATTACTCTAACTCCCCCTCCACCTTTCTGTGCAAAAACTGCTCATAAAGAATTTATCTGACCCACTTTTTTTATAAAGTTGTTAAGACTACCATTCCAGAGAGGGTCCTGCCCCATGCCCAGAAGGAAGGAATGTACGCTCAGAGAGGTCAAGAAGAATCTAGACAGACAAGCCTTGCTGGGTTTTCCCAACTCAGTCTACTAGCATGAGGTCATACTCTTTGCCAATCGTATTTCTACACCACTGTCCATATTTTGCTGAACCTAAGCAAAAAATTTGACAATTTCCCCTGTTTCTTTGTGTCTTCATTCTAAAGGCTCCCATGCACATACTGATCATGCATTTGTATAACTTTTCTCTTATGAATCTGCCTCTTGTCAGTGATTTTCAGCACACCTTCGGAGGGCAAAGGGGAAGTTTTCTCTTGGCCCCTATAACAGCATCTCCCACAGGGCAATGGTTTTGCTGCAAGGCCGCTCACCTGTGCTGGAGGAGACTGCAGAGGGTTATTCTCAAGCAGTAACACTTGCAGCTGCTTCATCTCTCTAAAACAAATCGGAATCACGAGCACTTTGTTGCAGGAAAAGTCAAACTTTACCAAGGGAAGATCTACTAGTTCTAAAATAACAGAAAAAAAGTAGAAAGCAACAAGGTTAAACAGCTAAACATTCAAAACTGAATTGTTTTGTTTATCAGGAAAAATATCATTTACCATAATCAAAGGCAAACTGTACATTAGAAATACATGGCATATGTATCCAACATTTTACTGAAGGGTGAGATCATTGGGAGCCCACAAATTTTAAACTGTTGTTTGTTCTGATAAGAACTGGAAAACACTTGACATTTACAGCATCTATTGTTTAAAAAGTCCTTTTTTCCAGCAAAAGAATCACGCAAGCCACACCACACAGGACATGTTTATGTTTGAACTTTCCAACTGTTTCCCAGTAGCACTTGCTAGCACATGAATAACATGCTCACTAAGCCGGGCTTGGTGGCTCAGCCTGTAATCCCGCGCTATTGCACTCCAGTCTGGGTGACAGAGTGAGACTCCAACTCAAAAAAAAAAAAATATATATATATATATATATACTCACTACAGAATGTTCTTATCTAGTCAATGTATCTAGGCTGGCATTAGCCCAGAACTAGTTACAGTAAATATGTTCATAATTTTTTCAACTACATTTTTAAAAAATACATGTTATCTAATTCAGAATTTTCCGGTGGGACTTGTAATTCTGGTTTGATCAGACTTTATTTTACTACTTTTAAAAAGTATTCTGTAACTCCACTAACAAGACAGAACATTATATTTAGCTTAAAATCCCCACCCAGCGGCACAGTAAACACTCAGTCATTTCAAGCACTCAAACCGACATTGGCAGCTGCTAGAAATAAAGTCAAATATATTCCATAGAGCAAAGAGAGACAGAGCCACGCCAGGCATCTAGGGTGACGCTGGCGTGTCACTGAGATCTCTGTGTGTGAGGCTATGGAGGGTTCATTTTGGAAGAGAACTCAGCACTTTTGTTATGGAACTCGTTAAGAGATAAAACATGGTTCTTTAAAATACTCAAGAAATTCCAAAGTAAAAGAAGAGCAAGAATTAGATAAAGAAGAGGAACTGAAGGCAATGACCTGGAATAAATTAACACTATTTCTTCTCTTCCCCTACACTGCTCTAAGGTCTTCCCTTTGCTATATTACTTCAAATTCTACCAAGAAAGATTCTCCTAGTAACCAGTATCTCTTCTCAAAATTCAAGGTGCTCTGGGAATGTAAGGAACTCTCCTGAATTCATACCTTAGTGAATTACTTTGATTGAAAGAAAGGAGCAATGGGACTGAAATTCTAGAAGAGGCAGAAGAGCATCTCATGCCGCAGGTCCCAAGTCAGGTCAGTGATAGGAGGACTATGTAAGAGAAATTAAGGAGGTGTATTTAAAAAAAAAAAAATGGAACCCTAGGTCTGCAGCCAAGGAATCTGTATTTTTAAAGTGGTCTTGAGTAGTTGATCAAACCCTGTTCACCTCCCCATTCTCTTACAGGATTAGGGATTAATCTCAGGCCACTCTAGTCACAGAAGACAGTGGAATCATGAAAGTGAAAGGATGGGAGAAGTAAGATTCCTTTCACCTCATGGTTTGTTTCTAAAATGGCTAAAAATCAAGAGGATTCCATGAAAAGAGAAATCCTTCTTTGCTGTAACCCATAGCAATATTAATCTGTCTTTGCGATGTTTGCTGTCCCCACTAAAGTTAGGCTGGCAAATCAGTGGCAAAATTTAACTCTGAATCTTCAGCAATTCTTTGCCACTTAAGGCGATGACTTCAAAGCAAGACCAGAGACTACATACAAAGAAGACATTGCAGGAGGGAACTTATAGGTAAATAAAATAAGAAATTGTTTTATAATGACTATTTACTTTCAGTTCCATTTTGGAACTCAATAACCATTGTAGTTTTAAAAAATAAGAGCTGAACAGTTTCACAAAAATAAGATGGGGAGAAAATTATAATCTTGCAGCACCATGCCAGAAAGAAAAGGTCAAAAGAAATGGAGAAGAAAAAGAGAGTAAGAATAAAAGAGCAAAGGGTACTTTGTTCACTATGGGGGGAGTGAGGGTCACCTAGACGCCCAATCTTCACCTACATGCAGTCTACCTATGTAGTAAATCCATACATGTACCCAACAACTCTATAATAAACAAATAAATTTTAAAAAACAAGCTGGGCTCGGTGGCTCAGGCTGTCATCCCGTGCTTTGGGAGGCTGCCTGAGTCCGCGGGTTCGAGACCCGCCTGGGCAACTTGGCGAGACCTCGTCTCTATAATAATTCAAAAAATTAGCTGGGCATGGTAGCGTGTGCCTGTAGTTCCAGCTACTTGGAAGGCTGAGGCGGAAGGATCGCCGGAGCCCAGCTGGTCGACGCTGCGGTGGCTGGGAGCGGCCACTGCACTCCAGTCTGGGTGACAGAGTGAGACTCCAACTCAAAAAAAAATTAAAAATTAAAAAATTAAAATAAAGAAACAAAAAAAGAAAAAAGAGGAAGAAATCCCACTTCTCCTTCCCATCTGCAAAGAGAGGCAATGAATGGCTATTTTAATTCTCTGTTCATGCTGCTCCCAGAAAGAACAAAAGATAGTCTCCTCATTGCAATATTGTAGTAAAACCACCACAAAATTGATATGGGTGATTAGGCCACAAACTTATTTTTTTTCCTTCTCAAATTGAATGCATATGAGGAGGGGTACCCATGGAGGAAAAACATGTAAGTAAATATGGCAAGCCATTAAATTCACTGCCTGAAAGCATTATCAATGCTCTTTTGTCAATAGAATTCTCCAGAGTGAAGCAAAAAGAAACTTGATATTCAGGAAATTATTTAAAAAGAAAGATTTTCCAGTAAACTAAAGTTCTAGCTTTGAGTATATTTTAAAATATCAAAACTGAGAAAACATAGTTATGGAAAGTATAGCAATTTGTAACTGATCTTTTTAGGGAAAGGAATGCTTTTAACGTAAGAGAATAAGGAGTGGTGACAGAAATAAAATTTAAGATTTTGCAGGTGCGCTTTCTTTCCACGTATTTCTTAACTATTACAGACAACTGTAAAATGATCAAATTAATTTTTGCCTTTTGAAGATGAGAGTTCAATTATTTGTGATGTTTTCACAATGATTAACATGAGAGCTTAAATTTAAATAAAAGTTTTGGCTAGGCATGGTGGCTCACTCCTATAATCCTACCAGGTTGGGAGGCTGAGGTGGGAGGACTGCTTGAGCCCAGGAGTTGGAGAGTAGTCTAGGCAAAATAGTGAGGTCTCACCTCTACATAAGATTTAAAAAACAGCTGAGCGTGGAGGCATGCACTTGTAGTGTCAGCTACTTGGGAGCCTGCGATGGAAGGATCTCCTGTGCCCAGGAAGTCAAGGTTGCAGTGTGCTGTGATCATGCCACTGCACTCCAGCCTGGGTGACAGAGTGAGACCCCAACTCAATGATTAGATAGATAGATAGATAGATAGATAGATGAGATAGATAGAGATAGATATTAATAGACAGATAAAAGGTTTCTTTAATGCATAAAAGACTATATGCATATAAATGTGCTGTTAATAAAACTTTTCCTTTTGTATTTGTTTAAACCAAAAAGAAAAGGTTCATATGTTCAAAAAATAAGGATTGTACAAGGAAAAAGTGAAAAATCAATCTATAAAGCATGGTACATTTTACAAAGCTCTTTCCCTTTCATGAGCTCCATTTTCTTGCCTTATATAATGAAGCATTTCAAGACAAAGATAATGATGCAGGGACAGGAAAATAAAAATTGGGCAGCTCTCAAATTATTGCATTAGTGTCAGATTAAATGCATATAGTTTCCAAATACTAGGGCTTTTACTTTGAGGTATATTTTTAAATATATGTTTGAAACCGGGTATGTCTAGAGTCCTTAAACAAAAACAGCGGAAATCAATGTGATCTTTGAAAACCACAGTGTGCTTTGGAGAAAGCATTCAGAGTTCTGGAGCTCATCAACGCATTCCTGATCGAGATCCAAACCCAAACATGAAATTCAGATATACTACCCTCTACAACGCTGCCTTCAAGTTCTTAATGGTACATAATTTCTGAATATATTCTTTTTCCTCGAACCCCAACATACTCTGTAAGAAGAGCAAACGGTGGAAGTCCATGGCTCCAGAGCAGGGCTGTCTGAGGGGCATGGCATTTGTGCTGGAGAGCCAGGGAGCCGGGCAACCAAATCTCAAAGCTGAGGCTCTGCAGTCATCCTTGGTGAAACATACCCAGCAAGACATTAATTGGCCCAAGTATCTCTCCAGCAGAAGCAACACCCTCGAGTGAAGAACAGAATCTAGACACTGGGGGTTTCCAACCAGGAACCTCAGATCCCCAAGGCTAGCTATCCTGACAACCAGGATCTGCAGGATCCAAGCATGTCCCCTAAACTGTTGGCTTTTGTGGTCTAGAACATCACAACCCCATGCCCAAAACAATTCATGATGCCCAGTTATGGGCTAGTTTGTCTCTCCCTCAAAATGTATATGTTGCAATCCTAACCCCTACAACCTTAGAATGTGAATGTATTTGGAGATATGGTCTTTTAAGGGGTAATTAAGTTAAAATAAGATCATCAGGGTAGGCCCTAATCCACTGGTGTCCTTGTAAGAAGAGATTAGGACACAGACACACACAGAGGGAAGATGATGTGAAGACAAAGAGAGGAGAAGATGGCCACCTATAAGTCAAAGTGGAGGCCTCAGAAGGAACCAGCCCTGCTGACACCTTGATCTCAGACTTTCAGCCTCAAAAATTGGGAGAAAATATACCACCCCATACATGGTTCTTTGTTCCAGCAGCTCTAGCAAACTAGTACACCCACCCATAGCACATATAAGGGAATGATTTTGCTGCTGTAGCACTTGACTCAAATTACAACTTAAAGACCACTTTTCTGTGCATGTGAAATTCAAATCATAATTATTATTAGTAGACACACACACAGTACAAGATGTACCCTCTTCCCCAAAGTAAACCCCCCATATAATAAAAGTCTCCCATTTTCTTCATTTTTTTCTTCTTTTTTTTTTTT